AATATATAATTAAACAGGTATCAACAAAATTACTTTATTAGTACAACTAATGGTTAACAACACAAAACACCTAAATACCAGCCTTACAAGTATTATCATCTTCTGGTAAAAAACTATAAACATCTATGGACCTAACATATTGCCTCTATTTCAAAAGATCAAGTGAACCAATAAAATTGTTCATATTTTTTTAAAATTAGATAATGTTTTAGGTGGAAATTACTTTTATATTAAAAAAGTACATAGCATAAATAAACAATTTTCCAAACAAAAAGTATCTTATGTTTAATCGAGTAAAGTGATAGTTTAACTGATAGGAAGACATTTTTGGATAGAAATTAGTAAATATTTACAAAACACATATTGAAACCCACTTCTAAACTCTATATAAATTTACCTCTTGGATCTGTCAAGTAAAAAAAGTCTTTTTTGATTCTTAATTATTATGATAGAACCAAATTATAATTACTGATTATGTGTGCTCCAAAAATTCATAGCATCCTTAACATAGTAAATTTTGTCAGAGGGCGTCAGAGCCAGCCTGGGCCAGCCTCAGGTGATACGAGGCCCAGTGCAAACAATTAGAGCGGGGCTTACTACCCTTATTTCTACTAAAAAGTTGTTAACCAACTATACCAATCAACAAAAATTTATACATAAAAGTAATACACCCCTTCCAATCCCCATATCCTTGCTAAGTAGGATGATTTTTTTCTTTCTCAAATAGTCATACAATTAAGAATGATAATAACTGTCTTGGTATGGTATAATTGTTTGTTTTATATTCTTATGTCTCAGGTAGACTGCAAAATAGAAACCTACAGTTTCCTAGCGTGAACAGTAGGATTAAAGTATTTACTTAACAAGTAAAAACTTTATAGTCCTAGTCTCAAACATTGATTAAAAGTTAGAAATTTTTAAAATACAATATATCGAACGTACCATGGATATTAGATCACAAAAGGGAACAGTATGGATCATAAACATATGATGTTACTGGCCTGAAAGTAAACAATTTGTATTATTATTTAAATGGAACTGTCAAAAAAACTTTCAAACCAGCTGATACAGTCATTAAGCAAAGATTACACATCGGGCCAGTGATGTAATTTATTTATGTTTCTGTTCTAATATCCGAACGTATTATAGAAATTAGATTGTACTGTTATTTGCTTTATTTTTAAATGTGTATTACTGAAACTGAATGTCATAACCTACGTACTAGCAGTAATGTTTCACGTCATCGCAGCAATATCCGTGATGATTTCTTGGAAATTTGGCAACAGACTTATCCTGTTTCCATTAACAGGCATCTAGATAAGAACTAGGCTCCAAACAAGAGGTGATGGTCTTATCACATGGCCAAAGCCTCATGGGATATGAGTAGGATTGGGGCTTGGTCTTCCGACTACCAGACAGCAACACTCCAAGAGTAATACGGAGCACAGAGATTGTTGAGTAAACAATATTGAAATGAAGGAGAGACAATAGGTTAAGTCCAATTAACATTTAAACACTAGTTTAAATACAGTATGCAAAACAAGTAACTATCTACATTGTTATTACCAAATTATCTATATTGGAGCTCAATCGGTATTCACAATTTGTTAAATCCTGCATAGGACTTGATACAGTATTTTTATTTACATTTCTTTTCTTAAATGTTGTTCTTACTTGAGTACCGTAGCTCAAATACATTACTAGATGAGAAATGGATGGATTCTGGCCGGATAGATAGTTTGTAGATTTATAATTATCGATACAATCAGTATATCCACAAAGATTGTACCTGTTAAAAGATAACTAGGCCAACATGCCTTTTTACTTGGCAATCAAGAGCAAATGATTGGACAAGAGTTGGTTTATTTTCTTGTTGATTAATATCAGTTTAGATGCTTACTTTGATCAGTCGTTCTACTAACTTGTTCTCCCATCTATATCTAGTAAATAGATTCTGTCAATTGAAATCCTGATGGTGAACTGTTTTTGATTTGTTATATTATACTGAAGCTTTCAAATGTTTCATGTTGACAGCCTCTGAATCGCTTTTTTCAATAAGTCGTGAATGAATGGTTTAAATACCTTTACTGTCAAAGCAATCCTTGTAGTCTTAGTAGGCTACTGCAGTTTCGATAACCTTTTCATGGTATCTTCTTCAGGCTAGGACATCATCTTAGACCAGCCGTCCGCACCGCTACCACACACTCTTGCCGTCCCAGTATTTGTACAGTTTATGTTTAATGTGTCGTATAAATGTTTCGTGTTCGTGTCCGTGTGTTCAATGGATTTTATTCAAAATGACGTGTTTGTGAAAACGAACGAAGATGATGTCCTAGCCTGAAGAAGATACCATGAAAAGGTTATCGAAACTCCAGTAGCCTACTAAGACTACAAGGATCGCTTTGACAGTAAAGGTATTTAAACCATTCATTCACTTATTTTCAAATGTTGAAAATATTATCGTGTTTGCAGGACCTGCGAATGGAAGATGAAGAGTTAATTCTGCCACAATAAACACAGAAAACCCTCTCACTGAACCCAGAAATTATATTTTTTTTCGTTAAATATTCAAGTGATTGTGTATATTTTACTATTTATGTTTCTTGTGTCAGAATGGATTCTTTCATATAGGCAAGCTTGCAATCCCATCACCCTAGATCCTGGGCCCTCGTGACCTATGTTACACTATATTCAGTTGAAACATTTAAGTATAATACAAACAACAATGAATGGATACAACTAACTTACCTAAGAAGAGAGTCTCAGGCATTTGATAGCACATAATAAGTTCCCAGCACAATAAACTTGATATTTCAACCCTATAGAACATATTTCTAATTCATTTTTTCTCATTTATATTTCTACTTCTATTTCTCTTGTAGGGGCAAAATATCAAGTTTGTGTTGTGAACTTTTGTGTTCTTTCAACTGCCTGGAACTCTATTCTTAAGTTAGTTGTGTATCCATTTCTGCTTCATTATTGTACTCCTTAGTTAATTTTATCCTAAAAAAAACTTGTCTTATGTAATAATAAAAAACTTAGGTAATAAAAACAGAAATTGTGTTTTATCAACATAATTTAAGAAATCAAGCAGTGTGTTACTTTACTTCATCTAAAGAATATTCTTTAAAATGTCATAACCGAGCAATATCATTGACTAGCTTCACACGGATAAATAAAAGATACCATAAATTGATATTTTTAAAGAACTATCTCAATACCCATTCATAACGACTCCAACTAGGATAGAACTCCTTGAAATTCACATTTCTTGTTATTGGCCCTGACCAGCTTCAAAAATCAATCAAAAGGCTACAAAACACTTAATACACATAAATAAATTATTACAGTCTTTATACATTTTTCTTTACCGTCTCATTTTTATAGAATAACTACAGTATTCAATATGCCAGTCTCTAAAGTGACCTATTCTAAGACAAATTGACATTCGATAAAACAAAGCTGGGTGAAAAAAAATGCTATCAATGGATTTCTCGTATTTTCTAACTATTTTAATGGAATAAACTCCATATTCCTTACGACTATTTATTCAATTTAATTTTTACAACTGTTTCAAAATGAAAGACGAGAGATAAATTTGTATATTGACATGCTTAAACTTCTAGTAATTTTGACAATCGATTCTAAAATATAAAGCAAAAGGATAAACAAGATCATATAGGTGATGAAAGTTGATTAATCAATATTAGTTGTCAAAATTATAAACAAATTGTCAATAAAAGGCTAACTCTATTGTTGACCAATAAAATTGACATTTTGCATGAAGGTGGTGGTGTGAGGATTTTATAATCTGACAAAAATAAATTTTACCATACAATTTTCTATACCTTTACACTTCACAATTAATTCAAATAATTCTTGCTCTCAATACCAATAGAGTTGTTGAATTCAAAATGTTGACAACTGTAAAGCTGGCTTTGATATCCACACAGACGTTTATGTACCTATTTTGCAAAAATATATATTTTACTCAAGCCTAACTGCAATTAACAATCTAGAACCTGACATTAAGTCTTTAATTATAAGATACATGAAGTCAAAATTTCAAATTGTATAGTATTAAGCTTTTTAATAGAATAACTATTTTGTGCTAGCACCATATGTCTAATCCTCAATAGGAAAAATTTCCCCAAATTTCTCTTCCCACCCCACCACACTTCAGTTAAATCTATTTAAATAATGGTTTTTATCAGCTACTTTGTGACTACTGTAGTCTTGCTAGATCTGTTAAACATTTTCTTCAGCAAAAATATATAATTTTGTAGACAACTCTATAATTCATAAGCTGTTGGATTTTTTCACTTGATCTTTTCATAGCCTATTTTGGTTATGTACCATTTAAAATGTAATTGACCTTTGACTAAAGATGCTTGACCATTATTTAAACATTCCATTTTCCCACTTAGTTGTAGCCAGTTTGAAAAATAAAAATAGCGACTGTCTTATACAGGAAATTTGCTGCAAGGTCATAATTTTATTTAAACAATAGCAGAATGTGCAGCTAAGAAATACTGTTTTCTCTCTTTACACCTCCGCTTAATGCTATAATTAAAAGATAACTTATTAGAGCATATTTTGTGTCCCTGCAAACTGTCATAGTATGATCAATTAGAAGGGAAAATCTGACTCAATAATAAATTGTGAGAAATAATCTCTATACGAGAGACCTATTCAACTCAAACTGGCTAAAACCTGGTCAATATGGATCAAAAGTCAATGGTTCAACTTTGCATAATGATGGTATCAAACAAACAAAAACTTAAGCAAAGCTTCAAATACTAACAACTTCATCAACTTAACAAAACAGGATAAAAAATAGCACTAGCTAATAATCTAAATAATAATAAAAAACTACCTAAAAGCTCTACTGTAATTGGTGTTTTAATAAATTAACACTAAACCCAAAATAAAACATAAACAGTCAAAAACTTTGGTATCAAATGGTAACATTTAACTTACACTATGTCTTGGAAAACAAAAACAAATGTATCCTATATATTTATACTTGAAACACTAATGAACACAGAATTGACTTTTTTGCCTCATTCCTCATTTCATTGTTTTAAATAAATGAATAACGAAAAGAAATTTGTCAACTGTTGATATTGTAAGCGGTTTACTTCTGTTTAAAAACATAGGTTCAAGATAGTAGATTCATTTCATAATATTTTCAAATTTATTTAGGTAAGCTAATCAATGATTAATATTGCAACTTTGAAAACTATTTGTTGAAGGTAGGGGATTTGGATGCGGTCTAAATATACTTCTCGACTAATAAAATGTGGAATGAGCAATACATGTATCACAGAAGACACTAACTACAATTAACACTACATACTACAAGTCTAATGGCAGCTATTTCAACATTCCCTGATCTGTTGAGTTATGATCAAGTTAAACGATAATCTTTAGGATGGTTACTGGTACTTGGTATTTTTGGCAACAGATTGATATACAAAGGGTATTGGGAAGTTCAAATAAGTAGTCTAGTACCGGTATAGTTTGTCATGTTAAACTAGGGAAAAGAAAAATTAATTCACAAGAATACAAGTTTTTAAAGTTTATCAACTGTAGAACTATTGATTGTATATGTATAAGGGCTAAAACATGCGGCTATAGTTGGAAATGTTAAACAGTAAAACATATTGTCTGAATAACAGTAGTTTTTAAATAAATTACAAGTTGAAATAATATAGGGTACAAACATTAGGGTGACTATTTTTTTTTCAGAACTCAGAAATGGTATTAAGATGAATACTGGAATTACTGAAATTATCAAGGTGAATTCTGCCAATATAACTGAGATTTAGCAATATATTACTGAATAAAATGTGATATTCATCATTCAGACATTCATATAGGAGCTTTGAGGACTTCCAAGGTAAAACTTAGATTAAGATGGAATGTTAGTTTAAATATGTAAGTAAAACTTCAATACATTTTGGGTTCTTTACACAACGTCAAACTACTCATGGGCTGATTCCTTACTTCCAAAGCTTCAATGAATTTCAGAAGTCAGAATCAACTTCCAAACTGAAAGTGGTCTTTTGAAAACAGTGACTTGCCCAGTTTCTTTCCCTCCAAGTACAAAAACACTGAAAGATGTGACAGGATCTTTGTCAGCTCGACTAGCACTGCTTGCTCGGTGGTTATCTCTAAAGTTCTTCTTCCTCTTCTCATTTACGTGATGATTATAATGATGCGGAACTATCGACAGGGACTTGGGTGGAACAGGTTTCATTTCTAGCATCTCTTGTCGACTGTTACTGCGGCCGAAAGCATCTTCCAAAACACTGTCAGGTGGACTGCTCAAAACCTTGACGTATTCTTCTTTCTTCAATATTTCTTTGATGTCAGGACCCATGTAGTTTGGGTTGGAGAAACTGTAAGGTCCTTCTTTGGTGTATGTGACTCTGTTCATGGTTTCTATACTCGCGTAGTCCGACGTCTCATCCGAGGGTTCCTCTGGAGTAATGCGGGGATTCCCGAACCGCACGGAAGCTGACTTGGGAAGTCCTTTTGAGTTTTTGGGCCTAAACTGTTGATGGATGGAAGAAAAGTCTTGTCTGGGTCCGGGGATGGGAGCTTCTTCGTCGTCCAGGTAGACGAGTTTTGTCACCTCAACTGGAGTGAGTGTACAGGAGGCGAGGGAGGTGAAGTTCGGCACAGACACGGGGTCTCGTGGAAGCACTGAGGTCACATGAGGGGTGGTCACACAAGGAGAGGCGAGTGTCCGAGCTATCAGGTTTACACTCTGTGACTTGACCATCTCCCCTGTAGAACTGTCTGATCCGATGCTCTCATTGCTACTCAGAACACTGAAAAACACAAGGGACTGATCAAACCAATAAATACTAAACTACTTAACCCTTAAACTTATATCCTTATGATATTGTTAAACATATTGATTTCTGTGGATGTTTTTCTATAAGTTACCCTTTAATTTAAACTGTAATTACTCATTTCGTATCAAGTGAAAGCTTTTACTGCCTATATGTGTGTTGGAAGTCCATCCTCAGAGCTTTGCCCATATAATATTTTAGAAAGAGAACAAAATAAGAATATATATTTTTACCTTGTATGCTGGCACCTAAAATGTACTATTTATATCGTCATGAATATTAGAAATTCAACAAATATTCAACCTCTTATTCAGTTTATTAGATAACTTAAAATTCACCAAAACTGCAGATTCATTCTAAGGATGGTTAAAATAATTAGATCACCTTCAGCTTTAATTCTTGAAAATTCACCCTTTATGAAGGTGTCAAGGATTTACGAACAGTAACAAGATTCAATAAAATTGCATTATCACTAGGGCACTCCTCTCTTCAAATAACCACAGTGAAAAGACTATGAGTGACAGATTATTTAAGGTATATGCCAACATTTTACTCTAAAACATTATTTAAAAATAATTATATAGGTAAGTTGTTTACACAGCAAATGAATTCACCTGTAGCTACATTTGGTGGGACCCAGTCTACTCAGGTTCATCTGAGACAGTTTGGTGATCTCGCGCAGTATACTGAGGTTTGCGGTCGGCGTCGTGGGTTGTTTCCGCACTGGGGTACATCCGTCGTAGCCACCTCCGCTCCACCTATGGTACCGTCGGTCGACTGAGCCGCCCGCGCGCAGTCTCCGCTGGACAGGGGGCGAACTTCTCTGCGTAGCACTCTCTCCCAGTAGCAGATCTGATACTGTCAGTGCAACACTCTCAGACCTAGGCTGCGGCTTTATACCTTCTGTGTGTAACCGCTCCCAACTCTCCGTACCTGTATGAACAGTAGATTATCTACTTAACCTATGCATTGATTTTGATCTCTCGGTATTCATTTCCCTCACTCTTGATTTCATTAGCTTGTAACCGTACAGAACCTAAAACATCTGCCTACACAAGTTTATCACAGCGATGTTCTGAAGATCAAGACGATACATTTAAGTTTATGTTCTAACTTCGAGAAAGCTTATTGAAGCCGAGCATTTGGACAAGCCGAGCATTCCGGATGTTCATGATTCAGCAGCGTGCTTTAGATAGGCCTACGTCCGATCTTAACCAATAATTCAAATGAAAGCTGGTATTTCACTGAAGGTTCTTAGATCAAAATATAATTTAGTAAATATATCTAAAATGAAATTACATATCAGAGAACTAATCAAATTTATGTTTTTTGATTGAGCAATACAGTAAATTTATCTTGAACTTAACTGATTCAAACGATCAATATCTCAAAAGCCTGTATTTCTAGGAGTATTTTCAGACCAAGACATATAAAACAGGAAAATAAAAATGGAGGTACGTAACATTGATTGCAGATAAGTCTTAAAATAATAATTATTATTATTTATTCGTGGTTCAGCAGCGTGCTCCAGGTAGAGTACGTTTGATCTTAATAATCAATAGCTCAAATATAAGCTGGTTTTTCACTGAAGGTTCGTAGACCAAAACATATAGGATAATTTTATTAGAACTGGTGAAATACATCTTTAATTTAAGTAAGACTTTGAAAAAAATAAAATTTATGTTTTTTGATCGAGTAATACAGTAGTAATACATCACCATTTGAATGGTGATGCAAATCTGTGTGTGCATCCCTTTAATTTAAGACCAAAAATATGAATATCAGTTGGGTAGAAGAGCCAAAACAAACTCGTAAAAGAAAAACCAAATTTATCTCCCATAGGAAATGTACAGGGAGAAAGTTGCTTTTGTGCATGACTATTAAAAGTTAAGCCATTAATAAATGAATGCCGATGCTTGATAGCAAATCTGTGTGTACCTTATTTAATACTAAAATTATGAAAATCAGTTGGATATAAAAGCCGAACCAACTCAGAAAAGAAAAACCAATATTTTTAATATATAGGTAAATTTGGAATCCCAGTAGGTAACATTTACATTTAGTATGGCTTTGGCTTGGGAAGATTTTCTTGTCCAACATATGCTTTGCTACAAGCTATTGTGGTTTAAACCATAGCAAGCTAATCGGCTTTTTTTAACAACTACACTTCAATAGTAATATTTTGCATTTACTCTATAAGTACAATTCTATGAACATGCTATTCAAACACTCATGGTTTTCAAACACAAAATTAGCAGCATTAGGATCTTGTATAATAGCAAAATATAACCTTAAGTTACATAGATTTGTTTGGTTCAAGACAATATCTTATTGTTTTATTATTACCAAAATGAAATCTCCACAGCTCGTTAAGTGGCTGGCCGTCTCTTTCTCCTCCGAATACTATCATGGACGACGGCAGCTTACACGTGGCGTGGCTGTGTAGTGGCCCTGGATTCACCTTTGTCTTCACAGAAGTCCAAGTCTTAGATACTGGAAAATTATGAAATTATTTAGTATGCAATTTGTTATAACACAAAGATCCTTATTGGTAAGAAATTAAACCAGCTACAGTAGAACCCCTAATATCCGGCCTCAGAATTTTGAGTGTTCTCGCGGTTTATCTGTTTCCTGTTCATATACATTTTTAGCATGTTCACTACTCAGTTGAGCTGGTAGATTACCAAAAGAGACTTAAAAACTACTTTTAACAAATCACAAGTTGTTATTACGTGAGTGAAAATTTAAAAACGCACGTTTTCATGTCCCTGGCCTTTTACTTCGTAGATACTGGATTTGTACTTTATTATTATGTGTTTTAATAGTTTTTGGGACGGGGGCAACATGTTACACACATTTATTTGGTTTTAAATAGGTTCTAGGTATTTTTTTCGTATTTTTAAAGTCTCGAAATTCACGACCATGACGTGTCCCTAGGGTACATTTTCCAACTTTCACGCTGTTTTTAGACTAATTATTCATGCCAAAATATATAAAGCCATATTTTTATGTCATCAATAGTTATTAAACTTACAAAAAAGGAGCATATTATAATTTTATTGTCATTGCAAACTGACTACCATGACAAAATAAGTCTGTCTCTCGATTTGGCGTCACGACCATTTGGGAAAAATTTTCAACTTTGGAGCACGACAGTGGCAACCCTGGCGTCGATTGCGTCAGTTCGTTTTAGAGACTAGTTTGGGGTGTACGTCAAGTTTTTTGTGCCAGTCGTTTTGTGTTGAAAGAAGTAGTTACAAGATTAATAAAGGTAAGTTTGTGTTTTTTGTAATTTTGGTGTGTCCATGACCGTACGTAGTCATTTGATGAAATAGACGTGGTGTTAATTTTTGTTGATATGATATTTCATTTCAATTGCTACATTAACCTAGAAGTCCACTTTGTATCCTCGAACATGAGGTGCAGGGCTACAGAGCCAAATAACAAGTAATGTCACGACCAAAGTTTCGCGACCACCGCGGTTTTTTTCACGACCAATCCAGCCTTATGGATTATACTATGTGTTTAGTCGTGACAATAACTTAAATATCATTCTAAATTGAACAGTTTAGTTCAATTGAAACACATATTTTTATTATAACTAACAATATAATTGAAGGATTGTTTAGAAATATTCAGATTATTCCAGACAAGTCACGACCGTAGTGGCTTGTCCATGACCATCGAGTTTATGATTTCTATCATAAAAATTTCAAAAATTAAAATATTATCATATTTTAATGTTTATACACAAAAGAAGCACACCTCTATAAAAAACATAATGATTTTTCGGGTCTCAGGTAAGTTTTTTCGGAGTTATACAAACTTAAAAAAGATGTTATTGGTTTTTTTTTCAATTTTTTGAGTGTTTTTATTTTTTTCTAGAAGGACCAAATATACCAAAAGCTTAGTGAGCTGTTTATTGTATAATGGCCATAAAAGTAAATTAATTTATAGCAAAACATAGTTATAAAAATAATATTAACTATTTTAATATTCAGTTTTATGTCCGTGATGGTCGTGACAAAATTTCGTGTCTTTCCATCAAAGATGCTCTATTAATAAAAAATCACCAAAGATATTGCGTTACCATGGACATTTAATAAATTTTCAAATGTCAATGAAATAAAAAAAGTTTCAAAAAACGGAACAAAAAATTTTAAAAGTGCTTTCCCTGAAAACGAACGTTTAATTTTCACTCACATACAAATTATCGTTTTATTAATAGGTTGGTTTATCCGGCCAAAATGTTATCCGGCCAGGGGCTTGATCGCAAGAAGGCCGGATATCAGGGGTTTTGCTGTAAAAAAATACATTATTATGCTTACTTTTACTATTATGCTTGGTGATCATAGTTCACTATCACTGATCAGTCATCCTTTCCATTTTCAATTCAGATGCCGGTTGGCAATATCTATCAACCAAAAGGTTACAAGACCGTTCCCTTACAAAACATGTGAAAAACGCAAATAGCATAAGGACACATACAGAAAAAGAATTACCCATGTTGAACCTCCATAGGTCAGAGCGCTCGTTGAGATCAGTCATTCCTCCGTAGATCCACATGGAGTCGTCATGGACCACAGCTGAGTGTTTGTGTCGCGCCGGTGGACAGTTCTGACCAGAAGACAACAGGTGCCACGACTCTGACTCTGTAGAAACAAATGGTTCTGCACTTAATGCAAAATATAAGTATAGTGTAAGAAGCTTGGCGGGATAGGACCATCTAAAATAAATGGTGGAAAGCTTGTCTGAAAGCTAACAAGAGGGTGGAAGGTAAAATAAATGGTATCAGCAATCTGACACATACTTTCTCCCATAAGCTTGTTGACAACATTTATCATGGGTAGGAGTAACTATGATATTTTATTGGGAAATATCACACAGTTGCAACAACTTTTGGACTGTAACTGTTACAGCAATGGGGGGTTGCACCATTTTGTTTAGAGTTATAAGGACCATAACTCATTAATTTTAATCAAAACCGACCTTTTTCTTAAAATCAAATTTTTTGTTATTTTATGGAGTTTTTATGGAAATATATCATAAGTTACAATAACCTTTGGACCGTAATTTTTACGGAAATGGGATTTATACCATTTTGTTCCAGATTTAAAGGAGCAAAAACATACAAATTTTAATCAAAACCGGCTTTTAAAAAAAAAAAAAACGATTTTTTTTGGGGGGGGGGGTTTATGATGGGAAAATAACATAGGCTACCTAATTTACAATAACTTTGGAACCATAATTTTACAGAAATGGGATTAATACCATTTTGTTCAGAATTTAAAGAACTAGGTACAACATACTAAATTTTTATCAAAACCATTCATGCCACTTTTATGAAAAATCAATTTTTCCGTTACAATTATACACCATTAAAATCAAAATTTGGAAAAAATTATAAATAACGCCTGGATATACAATGGGTTAGTACCCATACATAGCAAATTTCATCAAAATCTGTTTACAGGGTGGGGTCTGTAGTAGCTCTGTACACATACACACACACATACAGACATCACTTTGAAAACCACACATTTTTAACCACGTTTTTGGGGCCAGTCAGAGGAACCCAAAACGGATATATACACTCAAAACTCAAACTAGAATATTTGGACAAAAAATACTTTCTCCATGTGTACTGTATAGGGAGAGAAAGTAAAAAAAATTCTTTGCTCACAAATCGTTTCTTTGTTACCTTTAACTATGGATTGAGGATATGGCTTATTAAAATTGAGGCCACTTTAAGAATAAAAATTAATGTAGTTGTGAGTTGCTCTCTGAAATAGTGTGTTAGTGTGTTGGAAGTAGGCAAATAAATTACTAATTTATGTCAAACATGCTGATGTTTAGATTAAGTCAAAAAGTGAGGTCAACTTACTGTAAACTAAAGGCTATTTAAATCTCATCAACTATCTTGGAGATGGCTAAATTAAATTATTTGTGAAGAAAAAACTTTATAAACATATAAATCATTGTAGCTCATAGGGTTCCAGTGGTACTTAGTGGCTAAGGTGTCATCAATAGTACCGGTACTCTAGTCCTAGTCTACAGTGCTGCTGTAAGCCTACTTACCAAAGTGGAAAGCCCAGAGTTCGTTTGATGAGCCTCGTAAGTCTCTGTAACCGCCGTAGAGCAACATAGCTCCACGATGTACAAGGGCTGAGTGTCCACGTCTACCTTTAGGCACGGACACTCCCTTCTGTGACTTGATCTTGCGCCACTGGTTAGTCTACAACATCGCACCATGTGAAATGAAGTATGGATAACTAGCTTTTATGAGTGTTACAGGTTAGAACAATGAACATATTCTTTTAGATTAAATATACATGCCGTATCCTTTTCACCATCACTGTACAGTATTGTCATATGGATGCCTATTGGAGGTGTTATCTATTGTTGACTGGAACTCAGCAAAATGTGTTGTTGGATCCCCTAGTTACGGCTAATTGGAATAAAAAGTCACTGTGTAAAAAATAAAAAAAATATTTATCCAATAGTTATAGCCTTACTGTTAGAGTAATAAAGCTATGTAGAAAACATTTCGATGTATCTAATTCTAGATGTTATAGAACGTAAACAAACTCCCATAGTCTGTGGTATGCAAGGGTGTCTTCGCTTAAACCAATTTAAAATAAACAGTATTTGCAAACTGAGATTTTCTACCATTAGCTTGTCAACAACCCTTATCATGGGTAAGTGGAGGGAGTAACTATGGTGTTTTATGGGTAAAATCACATAGATTACAATAACTTTTGAACCTTGATTTTTACAGCATGGAGGTACAGAATCGGTACCCACACAACCACATAAAAAAATGCATCTAAATCAGACCACAGGTGTAGTCTGTTATTCTGTATACAAACTTATCCTTTATGAAACCACTTTTTTGGGTTCAGGGGGACCCAAAACCGATACTTCCAACCGCCAAAATTCAAACGCAAACATTTTGACAAAAAAAAAACTTTGCTAGGTAAAAATAATGACACATTTTATCATAAACTTAATGGTTTGTATGAAATACAGAACAGAGATTGACCGAGGATATCTATTCAGATTATTATACTTTGTATGCGCTATTTGTAAAACAATTAATACGGTAATTAAAATCAAACAAAATAATTCATAAAGAAATTGTTAAGATCAAAGTCTAGATGAATAATCCATGCTAAGTAATTCTGGTAATCTTGGTCCAAAATAAAACATATCACAGTTTGAGTCAAAACATGACCCAATTCAAGACGGGATGGGTCATTACTTGCATGCAAAGGACATATAACAGCAGTAATATGCAAAGAGCGCCAACTTGGCTGGAATAGTGCAGAATATAAAATCTTCACTGATAGCCTAACTTCAGATGCCAAAGATGCCATTAGGAAAACCATCTGAATATATATATCTGACCATGTTTTTTTTCACTTTTAATGAAAATTTTAAGTCCATTAAAATTTTAATTAAGTGGAAGACTGTAGAATAAACTAATTAGTTCGGTTCCTTTTAACTTTGCATTATTTTTGGAAAGCACAATTTTTTAGTAGGTAGACTACACATTTAGGAAGAACTGTATTAAGAATTAGGAAAAAAACTACATAATTTAAAATTACCTTAATGTAAAACATGACTAAAATCCTTTCCATACAATTTTATAAAACGATACGTTTATGACTTTTATATGTAACTAGCAAACCCGTTGTGGCTTCGCTCACGAAAATTTCAATTAAATAAAAAGTTAAACATTTTAATCTGATAGGCCAACAAAATAATTATTGTTATTACTCAATAGGAGAATGCAGGTGCCACCCCTTAGCCAAAAACTGTTCCTTTGACATTGACTGTTATTCAATAATAGAGAACCTTACCTACCTTAAAATCCCAACAAAATTAATAGAGTCAGGGGTGCCCACAAGGGGGGGGCTGTGACGCAGACTGCGTCATTGAAATTCTTGGGGGGGGGGGCTGCAAAAATCAAATGGGGGGGGGGGGTGGCTAAAGTTAATTGCAACAGTGTTCAACGTGACGAAAATCAAAAATATATTACAAAGTCACCAGATAGAAAGTCGATTAATTAATAACAAAAGTTATGTTATTGAATTCAATTAGTTAAAATAGGATTTTATGATAGTTTAGGATTTGTATAGGAAGTTATTATTCAAGATTAGCAAGACATGAGATATAAAAGGGAGGGCACGGAATGGCTCAACTGATGCTGAGATAAAGATAATAACGCGGGACACAGACACAAGCTACACCGCGTCTTAGCACGGAACGCTTTGTTGACATAAAGCTCGTTAAAAGGGAGGGGGTAATGAAAAATACGGTTATTCCAAAATAGTATAAAACAGATGACAAACCCATTAAAACGCTGTAAACAGCCATTAACGTCACGATTTGCATTTTTATAAACGAAATTCAATATTGCTCAATAATTATTATTGTGCAATAACACTATTATTATACATTTCAAATCATTTGTCTTGGTTTAGTTGTACAAACGGCAACGTTTAAAATTATAGCTAACTCAAACTTAACTAATAACTAGCCAAACAGAAACACTGCATTGCTATAAATAACGTAAATATTAAAGGAACCTTTAGAAAGTGTTATAAGCGACTGCTGTCTATACAGATAGGCTACCGTACCGGAAGGTGCTGTATCACAGCATAGGAATTGATAGATAAGTGATAAAAAGTGTAAAATTATATTTAGATATAATAAAAACACTCTTAAAGTAACGAGAACAATCTTGTTATTCTCTTTCTTTGTTCTTCTGTTCATTAATAGGTTTCTCTTCAATTCATACACAAATTCAACAAGTCGCCATATTTAGGCCTACTCATTGCCCAATCACAGCCTTACTAAAGTTACCACGGTTATCACTCAATCACAGTTTACTAAGCATTAGGATCGTCATCATTTCCCAGCTGTTGTATCTTAGATCTGTTGTAACATAGCGCACAGCAGACAGAAGTGTAAAACGGAGCAGACGATTGTTGGCGCAAGCGTTGTTTCCATTTTATTATCACCAAAGGAGCTGTGATGTTTCCAAAGGGAGGGAGAGGGGGTCGTTTTATCAACATAAAGAGAAAGACGCTGACGATTCGTTAAGCAGAGGTTACGAACGCTATATAGATAGTCTGGCAATAAAAAATCCTTAAATTGAGGTGACTTATAAAACTCTAATTTTAGTTATATAGAAAGATAAGTTTTCCAGTCCTGTACAAAACTGATTCACGGTCTTTTCCCGGTAATCAAAATTCAAGTACAACTTGATACACACAGAATCTCCGGTTCCTGACCTGGATGATGGCTAGTTTTTAAATTTAATTTACAGTTACATATTAGTACCCGTGATAAATCAAACCCGTTATGTAAGCCAAAGCCACACAGTTTTTAATCTCACTTGGTTTTGGATTTGCTTACAAACGTGATGGGAAATGGTTACAAACGTGATTGGAAATCGTTAGGGCATACACAGTATTCATAAACAACATTTATGTAAACATATCAGTGACAGCTAGAAAAGGGAATCTTTATCAAAACAGATGTTCGTAATTTTATATGTGACGTGTCCTCTCAACAGATTATTAATAAATGATGTATGTAGTAAACATGGAGAAAAAAAATAGAAACATCACACAAAATTGGGTTTTTGATCTTCCGTTATTTTATTTCCAAAATAGTGAGGCCATATTTTAATAGCTAAGGACACTATCGCTAATCCTGTGAATACTATTAAACCATTAGAATCATAATCGGTACTCTAGTTTTCTTTAGAGTATGCTGCGTAAAATACCTACTGGGCTGTGACAGACGGACATCAATTTAGATAAGACATGTTTCAACTTCTTCAATGTATAAAACGAAAAAATAACCCAAGATATGTATAATTCCTAGCAATGTGCAGACAAAACTATAACTTTATTAATATATTTAACTGGGTTTGAATTTTCAATATCTTAAAAAATTTATAAAACTTATTTAATTTTAAAAATAGTGCTGGGAGGGGGAATAATGTTTCTCATTTGTTGTGTACCTCATTAATGGAGGGGGGGGGGCTGTTGCTCAATTGGGGGGGGGGGGTGCGTCATGAGTCTAGGGGGGGATGGGCACCCCTGATAGAGTTGTGACAAAAACACATCTTGATTATATCATTCATTTAACTACTAAAAATGTGTTATACAGTAAAACCAAAACCTTTGACTATTATTACAACAACTATCCAATAGTCAATGATAAAACTTTCAAGCAACAAAAATAATGTAAATATTATCATTTCACCTATTAAAATATAACCATCAGCTGTTCTCTCTTAATTATAGTTCAGATTCAAAAGTATTCATATGTTCAAATGTAAACAAATATTTTCTCCATAGGGATAACATGGGAATTTTAAAAGCCACTGGGGCAGAGCCCTGATGGAATTTCATGAAAACGCTTCTTATTGTATACCGTACCTAGAGGTTGATTGGAACCTCCATGCCCATTCTTGAGATCTTACGGCTAGTAGTTTTTGAGATACAGTGATCAGTGAGTCACTAGGACGGTGGCGTCGCCTGTAATCCAACTACTAGGAGGAATTTTGGATATTTATAGGCATGCACTGTGGATGCGATACTCCCTGGTGTGGATTAACGACTGCACTAGTGAGTATTACGACTAACCGCAGTACTATCCTGATAATTAAACCAATTCGTTAACAAGGCAAAAATGTGGTTCGGATTCCACTATAATTAAACTGTAGGTCCCTTAGTTGCCATTATCTTTATGGGCTATTAACTGCTATGTCTAAGGAATATGTCGACCTTATAGTCACTAACAAGCAACAAGATCGTGCCACTCATCCTTCACTCATATTTGGGTTAAAATACGCACATAGTGGCGTCCCCATCTTAAATAATCGATAGTGAATGGTATTTGACTTTTATAAATATAAAATAATAATAATCATTTATAGAATACCAATTTGATGTTCCGAACCACTTACCCTTAAAAAGCATATTTGTGATCATTTTATTTGTAAATGCCACTAGCTTAGACACTCACAAGACTATATACTATATACACTATAGAGACTATATACGTTCAACTGCGGCTCGGGCGTACACATTTCTCTCATGTGCAGCAAAGTGCCACTTCGCACACTAGTTACACAAATAACTATTGCTCTTCCTTATTGTAACCCAAAATAATTGACATTTTAACCAAATAGGCCAATTAAAAAAATTACACTCA